TCCTCTCTGCATGTTACTCTTCTTCTTGGTCTTATTCTCTTTCTCCCCTTGGTTGCTAAACATTTGAAATACATTTATGTGCAACAGCACCATTGGTATTGCAGATAAGACACTTCATTTCATCCATTTTTGGCTGCCTGTAGCATCGGAATATATGCTTGAGACCATTTGACTTTTTATCTTCCTCCTTTGTCCCTTTTTCTGCGATTGCATACCCAAGCCTCTCAAGTGATTCACGCAGTTCATTCACACGATTAGGATTATTATCATCAGGTTTAAATACATTTGAAAACACAACAACATAATTCTTCCAGTTCCTTATCGCTGGTATTTTACTGAGAATATTCCGAGTATTCCCTGGGTTGGTACATGTTTCACCACATGGGGAGTCACGGACGTAGAAAACCATCAGACCATCTTTGGAGTTTTTCCTAATTTTGTCGTTTTCTTTGAAATAGTTCAGGGTTCGGGACTCAGCATGAGCAGCCTGAGGATACAGATTTTTTTTAATATATTCTCCATCACAAAATGCTGCAATATCAGCCCATGTCTTTATCTCCTTTCCATTACATTTTTTTGGTACAGGCCACTGTACAGGAGCATTAGGACACTGATCGAGAACATTGGGCCATTTCAGCACTGTGGCTGCCACCACTCTGTTACCTATGTATACGTCACAGTTTAGAATCTTCGTCCTCACAGCTTCACCATCATCATCATCAGTGACTTTGTTCATATCAAACTTGTCTTTATTGTGTGGGACGCTCACGGCCACACTGAACATGGGAAACTTTCTGTCAAAGTAAACAGAGAATATTCACCTGTAAAACATTTTCTTTATAACGTGCAGATTAAAGTATCCAGAGTGTTAAACCAGACAAAGTGAGTTCAGTCTCATTTTGCTGAGGAAACCAGTCTATTTCTTTTTTTGTTTTTTTGGGATTTTTTTAAGCCCTGAAATTGAGAACAACTTAAACATCCAGTTATGAATAACAGTGAGTATGTAATGCTGCATTTGTTCTGTCAGTCTCTGCTTCTACGTGCAGCTCTAATGATCTCAGCTTGCTTCTGTTACTATAAAGCACACTGTAAGTACTGTGCTGCAGATTAAAGGGACCTTTGTTACTGACCTGTTGTTGTTTGCACCAATGTAGCTTGGTGTGTACCTGCCAAAAGACACA